ATATATTAAAAAAAACCATAAACCGTCAACAAACATTTGTGTAATTACCAACTAGAAATAATTAATTACCATTCCCACTATAAATACTATAATAGATAGAAATGGGTCTTAATGTATACATATAAGCAAGAAGGAAAAAATATAAAGAAGTACAATTAATTGACAGACTTACTATAAAAAGAGAGATTTGGGGAAATAAAGAAAGAAGGATAACTAGAATAAATAATAAATAAGAAGAATAAATAATATAAAATAATATTATTAATATTTGGGTAGTGCAAATATTTTAAAAGTGGCTTGGAACTATTAGTTTTCCTGATTGTTGGTTGCAATGGTAGGTCAGCAGATATTAAGCCACTATAGGTATATAATCAGCGATCAATAGTCGTTTTACTTTTATATTCTTTGCAAGAAATCTTAAGAGATGGCTTGATAAAAGACTTGTAGAGCGTGATTTTTGTTTATTAAGAGAGGTCTTTATTTCTCAATTGTCTTCTTAGCCCGAAGTAACATCTGTTGGCAAAAGTGATTCTTCGTTGAATCTGTAGATCGCCGTAATTTTTGGTATTTACGCTAAACAAATTCTTTTATCACTTCGAACTTATAATTGTCAAAACTGAAGTGGGTCCAAAGACGCTCAGGAGATTTATTTGTTGAGATAAAGTAGCTTGTTTAAAAATCCATAAATATATAATAAATTGTTGGAAAAGCTAATTTGAATAAAACCTTCAAATTTAAAATTGACTTTATTTGTTTGTATTATATATATGAGTGGTGGAGTACTAAATTTATGAGTGTTGATTTATGAGAACATAATTTTTTAATTGTCAATTTGATTTCTTACATTATTTCAGTCACAAAAAATTAATCATTTTTTTTAAAAATATTTTGCAACTCAGTTTTTTTATGTCGAAAAAAAAACAATACATTTTATGACATTTCCCTTGTCACAAACTAATAATGGATTGAACGATTTGCCGTCAAAAAATTGCTGACAAGATATACTCGTATATGATGTAGAGTTCTAAGAATCAGTTTTAAGTCAAAGAAACACTGCCTTAGACTAGTATCTGCCCACCAGCAATTCGAATTTCACACTCAACACGTACGCATAGATATCATGTGTGAGTTTCGATAAGCAAATGAGGTTGAGAGATTATTGAAGTTGTTTTCACTTGTATCTGCAAGATACTTTTGATTAAAGTAATGTTGTGTGGGCAGTTAATGAATAAAATTTTTTTTTTGAAACTATTATTGTAATCCCTTCTCTGTTTTTTTAAGATAAATCATGTTTATAGCATTGAGTAATGTTTTTGTTCCTGAAATTTCGCTGTGTTAATTAAATCATAAAAATGAGTCATCCAAGAAGATGCTGAATCTGATTTGTGACAGAATTGAATGATAAAATAGAATCAATAAATGCTTTTAAAGCGATTTGCATAAATATACAATTGTTATTGGCTTATAAATTTCATTGTGAAACTTCTAAGTTTGAAATATTTTTATTTCAATGCCTTTTCTCTCTGACCTTTTCCAGAATATCAGAACATCGCTTTTCTTTAACACAACATAAGTTAATCTCTCAGCATTTAGCATCTCTTCATGCGATGAGACATAAAACACTAAATAATAGTTCTTGAGTACTTTACAAAACGGCATTAAGAGATACTAAAACGCTTTACGGTATCGTATTTACGACACAAAGACCAAAACATATGCGTAATTCGGTGGACTCCATTTGAACTATGCGAGACAGAATGGAAAACGTAAATATGGAAAGACCGAATTAGCTGTATTCATGTCGAGTGAAAGTATTTTTGACATTTTTATATTATTTTTTCATACTTTTGATAAATTCAACGCATTTGTAGAAAAAATAAAACATTTTCGGTTTTAAGTTGAAAATGATTGATGGCGGCAACGTTAAATTGTATTGCTTTGTTTGCTTTTGAATTGCTAGCAAAGTAGCACCGAAATTAGTCGCACTCCGTACATGTCGACTGACATTAGATCGACATTTCTGATCAACAATGCCGCGGTTAAAAATAACCGCAAAGCACGTTTTTATTGTTTAAACGTTTTTGTTGTTTTTTTTCTTTTTTTGAGGTTATGTACAAATAAAAGAAGCCTAACGAATTTCTCTTAATCAAGTGATCCATTTTTTTTAATCGAAAAGCAACTGATTGTAGTGATATTGTTGTATAGATACTCGTATTGTTTTCATTTTTTCGCTAATTTATTATATATTATATTATTAAAATTAATAGAAATATTAATTAACAAAGAATCAGACATTATAAACTGTGCTACATCATCTATGCTACATCATCTATCACATAGTACGAAGTGATTTTCTTTAACAAATTCTTATTGAAAAGAGTTTGAATACATTTTCCTATCATTTCTGGAAATAAATGAAAATAGAATAAGAATATTCCATCTAGAGATACAACTATGTTTCATGAATGAAGTAGATGCAGAGGAGGCCGTAGGATAAAAATAAGAATAATAAGAAGAATAAAGAGAAGAAAAAGAAAAAGAAGAAACAAAATAAAAAGAAGAAAAAGAAGATAATGATGATGAAGAAGAAGATGAAAATTAGAATAAAAGGAGAAGAAGTAGAAGAAAAAGAAGTAGATGAAAAAGAAGAAGTAAACGAAAAAGAAAAAGAAGAAAAAAAAGAAGTACAAGAAAAAGAAGTACAAGAAAAAGAAGTACAAGAAAAAGAAGTACAAGAAAAAGAAAAAGAAAAAAAAAAGAAAAAGATAAAGAAGAAGTAAAAGGTGTATAAGAAAAAGAATTAGAAATAGAAGCAAAAAAGTAGAAGAAAAGAAGAAAAAAGAAGAAGAGGTAGTAAGTAGTAGAAGAAGAAGATGATGATGATGAAGAAGAACAAGTAGGTGAAAATTAAAATTAGAAGAAGAGGAAGCAGAAGAAAAAGATGATGATGAATAAGAAAAAGAAGTTGTAGTAGTAGATAAAAATGAAGAAGAAAATTAATATTGCTGTATTCAATTCGATTACGTTATTAAAACTAGTCCATTAATGGAAGTGCACGTAAAATTGTGTCAGCAAAAACTACGACTTTACTGTCTAATAAGTTTCTAGCTATTCTGGCATATCAGTAATGATTAGTGACTATTTCGGATGGAGAACAAAATCGCAAGAAGAACAAAATTTTTTACTCTGTAGTAAATGCTCCTCAGTATATACAACTTAAATATTCACTTCAATTAGATCCTTATTCCCGGAAACAAGAAACTTAACCAATCTATCAGGAAAAAGAGCAGCACATACATGAAGAATTTAAAACGATGTTTGATATAACTGTTTTAAAAATATGACTATAATGCATCAAACCCTTTAAGTTCAAGTTGTCATCTCTATAATAATTAATAGAATACTAGCAAAATGATCTTTTTTTTTTATTTTTTATTTCTTTGAATACTTTTTTCTTTCTTAATTATTCGATGTAAAGAGCGTGTTTATTGGATATGATTTGTATGGAACGATATACCATACCATATGTATATTATTACTATAGTATTTCAACTTTCAATTTTAAACTTCGATATCTGGAAAACTTAGGAAATATATAGAAATGAAAAACGTTGTTTAAAATGGGTAAATCGGCTTATATCTATCATTAGATTTGGGTTTCCGAGATTTAGGAATCGTGGAATAAGAAAAGATATTGATCAAAGGCTTTTGTTTTTAAAAAATATGTGGTAATATGAAGAAAAGAATTAGAATGATAATAAGAGTAATTTTTTTAAATAGAGACGAATAAGGTTTCTAATTTTTTTCGAAATTTAGGTATGCTTTCTAAAATTAACATAACTAAACAGAGCTTTTTAAAAAACTTTTTAAAAACTATTTTAAAAATGAAATAAATCCGGAAGATTATTCCTGCAATTTTTTAAATTAAATTTAAGCAATTAAAATTGTATTACCATTGAACCCAAGTAAAAATTTTGAATTCTTTTAAAATCATATAAATAATTCCGTCACACTGTAGTGTAATAAGTAGGTTTAACGTGTAAATTACCAGTATTAACTGCTTTCAGTCTTCTTGCTTAGATAGTTTTTGTGGTCTTCGTTCATTTGTAAAAAAAGTAGGGACGACATGTCATTTTAAACAAATTCGACTACCTGGTAAATGCCATAATTTGTAATGTGATGAATCTACAGAAAACCATTTAAATGAAACCTTTAACTTAGGTCTTAAGCCTTTAGCGTTTCTCTTCTTCACCTAGTGCGATCTTCTTGAGTTAGAAGCACTGCATAGTCGAGATGCAATGAATTCCAATGAAGATTAATTGTTTTGTTGCTGTTTTTCTATCGAAAAAAATCTTTTTCGTGGGCAAGTTTGTTTGTATAAGTAGGAAAATTTAGAAAAGATCTTAACCGAACTGCGGAGATAAGAAACACTTAAATTCAACGCTATATAATACTCTACGTATTACAGTATACATTAAGAGATTGGCTTGAGGGCAAACATTACTTGCTAGTTTATCGGAATATGTGTTTAGTCTTCACAGGCTGCTATGTTAGGTCAGCAAATGCAGCCACTTTGCATCAGCTGAGTATCATAAATATTTGTAGGTGTCAGAGTATCGAAGCGATTACACAATAAACTCATAAGATCGAAACTTGTAGATACTTGAAGTCGGATGCGAGTCGCTTATGGGTGAAGTGCTTAAGTGCCGTAATGAATCAAATTTTTTCAGCAGCCAAGTGACATTGAATTACTCGACAATAGAGTTTTCCCTTTTAGAGTAGAATGCATAATTAGTGTTAAAAGGCGTAGATTTCAATTGGTGCGGTTTTATGTTTTGTCTTGTATTCAAAAATTTTAATTGGATTTATTTTATAATTTAAA